AGATAATAATTTTGTTTATAGTCTGAGTCTCATTCTTGTAAAAAATTTGTAAATTGGCTCCGGCCTGTGTCAACTCTCGTAGTTGCCCAAAACAAATTAATAATAAAGATAAAGGCAAAACCTCACCTTAACACAAAAAAAAAAAAAAAAAAAAAAAAAATTTTTTTGCTTGTAATGCAAATTTTTAGTTCTTGTATAAAAATGGGTTATTAATTTTTTTTTTTATATTCAAAAATTTTTAAATATTGTATATTTTTTGCTAGCCTGCCGGTTTTTATTTGCATGTTCTGTAAAAAGAACCAAACAATTTGTTTGTATAGTCTAAGTAGTTAATATTGTATATAGATACTGTTTCTAATGTTTTAAGTAATAATTTTATCTAATTTTATTTATTTATAAAAATATATGTAATTCACCATTAATATTAAAAATATGTATATATATATGTAATGTTAAATACTACTAATATGTTTTAAGTACTCATAAAAGAATTTATATAAAAAATTAGTTAATTGGCTTTTATAGCATGTGAATTTTAAAAATAATGATAACCGCCAACTCGATTTTTAATTTTAACTACAGATAGTATAACGGTAATAAAATATTTTTTTCGAGATTTGCGAGTTATATATAATATATCGATATGTAAAATGAGATTGATATTTTTTATTGCAAACTAATTTTATAACATTTTATCTATAATAAAAAATTATTATTACATAACGGTAAGTATATGTGTATATAATATGTATAACACATCATACTGCTATGTATGTATTTTTTTTTTTGTTAAACAAAAATTTTCCATTGTGTGATATAACGATTAGTCTTTATCACAAATACGTCGCATTTCATTGTCCACTCAGTCACTTTAATGTCACGTTTTTTCACATGATATATTACCAAATATTTGATTGGTCCAACTCTATCAGATAAATTCTATAATTATATCAGAAATCCAAAAAAGTAAGTTTTGCCACTTAACTCAGCTATCCTGTATGATTGCTGTATGTGTTACGACTTGAACTTTTTTCTTGAAAATTTGTAGTGTAATAAATTCCTCTTATCAAATAGCAGCCAAGTCCACCATACGCATTCTTACGCCCAAAGTATTTACACTCTAACCATGGAATCGTCGAATAATAACACCACTTCACCGATTGAATCTTTTACCACGAATGTTATAACTATTGTATGTTACCGTTTATGTTGAGGTAGCTTCTCACTTGACAGGGAGACGTCTTATAACAAATAATAAATTTTATTTCGGTTCTTTGTAGTCAAACGTTGCGAGTATAGGCTGGTGCAGGTACTCTTATGATTGTCCCTCCGACAAACTCCGCTCATTTATTACCTCCGCACCTTTACTATCGTCGTGGTCAGAAGCCACCAGCCTTCCAGCAATGGACGATCCTATCGTGGCTAACTACCTAAAGTTGCTCGAGGAAGGAGTTCCATGTACGTGGCAATACAGTGGTGAATCAAAAGGTAGCTTTGAAAATCTTTTTACAGACAATATGATACTGCATAGAGAACTGTGGATTTTTTGGCTTAAGGGGCAAGAAAGCAACCCCTCCTCTCATAATAGTTTGTATCAACTAAATGGTGAGGAATTCTTTATTTGTAAATTTCAATCATTACTAGCATTTACGTTTAACTAATTCATCAATTATTATTAATTTGTAGATTTAAAACAAACTGATGGAGGAAGTTTTTCTTTGGAAGATATCGATTCGCTCACAACGCAATATCATTTATTCATAAAATCTATTAAAAATTTAATAAGCCGGTACGATACATTATCTCATTCTTTGTATAGGATGTTAACTTGAATAATTTTTGAATAATATTTTTGTTTTACAAAATTAAAAGATCTTTAATAAAGAAAGGTGCAGTTCCTTTGGGTGAATGGCACGTCTTTCCACAAAATTCTCAGATAGTATACGAAAGGTTAGATGATGTATATCTATAAAATTCGAATATATATAGGAAGCAATTATTAAAACTATCATTTTTATTTATTAGTATATTATGCTGCAAATATGAGGTACATCTAACGGCCACAAATTTAATCATCCAGCCAATTGTAAAACATCAGAGTTTACGTCCTTTAGAACCTAATGACCTTGAGTCACCAGACAGCATACGAGCCGTCATATCACCTTCCGGTTTACGAGTCAATATACTGACAATTAAGCGCTATGAAGAAGAGGACGTATCCGCTATTTCAAAAGAGTTCAAGGCATTTTTTAATATTGATTCATCAAAGATGTCTGGAACAAATGAATCATATTTACCTCCTTTAGTGCAAATATCAATAACACAAGATGCAGTTACCAAAGAATTTCCTTACCCTTCACAATGTATATATGTTGTTACTGAGGGTAATATAAGCTATCAACGTGGAATTTCTGATTTCGGAATGGGACCTGTATTATGGAGTAATTTGGATGGTGGACTCTCAAATAATATGTTGACCAAAGATCAACTTATAAATAACATCAATTGGTGGCACTACAATGATCCGTTACGTGATGTGGTAACCGTACTGAATCAAAAGGATTTCCATGATTCAAGTGTCTCGTCTCCGTCTGGCTCAGAAACCCCTGGAATAGTTACCGTAATATCCAACGCAAACTCACCAGCACATCCTCTGACCCCTGTATCAAGATCAAAAAAACGACCTTTGGGTGACACAAAAGCCTATCCGTCTCCACCAGATGTAGTCCAACCAATGCCTGCTGAAGGGTTGATTTCACAGCTGCAAAATGAAGAGGCATTATCTATAAATGACAATATGATGGCTATGATGGAAGATTACGACTACGATCCATACTTAGCAGCAGTAACGGAAGAGGATTTTGAGACTTTTAATGGCGAGGTCTGTATTTACATGTATTTTCCTTTAACAAAAAAAAAAAAACATTGCTATGTGCAAAGTTCACTTTCTAATGCATGATGAATTTTCCTAATTATATGAAGCCCCCCGCTCATACAACTGCGACTACGAATTATCTAACTCCAGCGCCAGATTCTACGACAGTTGTTAAAGAACCGATAGCTATTACACCATCGTCTCCACCGAAGAAAGAAAACAATAGCAACTTTGTTGATGATCTTAAGTGTTCTCAAGACAAAAAGACAAACCCACTGGTCCCTATTGAATATGCTCCATTGGAATTTGTCAAAGGCGTGGATGATTCTAAATATCTTCCTGGTGGAAGATTCTTTATACATACTAATCGGAAAAAGCGGAAACGCTATATATACGGTCCTGAATATACTCCGTTGCCAAAATCCGAGCCTAAAAGGCAAAAGATCTTGAGTAAAGTTCCTACGAATACAATAAAAGAAGAAGATAATGAATGTTCTGGCTCTGGAAGTTCTACAGAAAGCAGTGATTCCAGTTATGGTAGTGACTCCAATTGTGGTAGTGACTCAGATGTTGATAATAACTCGAATTACGATGGAAGCACCAAACAAATTAACGCATTTATAATGAATTCTCGAAAATTGGAATTTATAAATGCGGGACGTTTATCAATGATGATTGATTTTTATGGCCCTTCTAATTGCCGAATGCTTCGCACGGTAAATGAACCTGAGGCAAAAGGTGACATAACGAATCTTGCCCTTACATATCTTTGTGAACAAGTTGTGTTTGGTTCTTACCCTTTTGGAGTTGGTATTCATGGGGAAGGAGAAAGTACGCATGAGCTACTAGAATCTCACAGGTGTCTTGTCGGAAATTTAAGTAGAGGTAAAAAATAAATAAATAAAAAAAATTCTTTATTTGACAATCACTTCATCAATCCCTCGTTTAATCGACAGTTAGTTCGCTGACTGGATTTGTTCACCGACAATCACTTCACCAACAAACGCTAATTATAAGAACTGATGTCCCATTATAAAGTTGATGCATAACTTAGTGACTCTTCAAAGTTAAGTCAGTGTGAGTTATAGTATAGTTTTTTCATGCTAGAATATGGTATGTGATAGGAAAAATTGTCTGTGAAGTGGTTTCCGGTGAACTGATCCTTGTCATTGAGATGAACTGTCGGTGAAATGTACATTCGGTGAACCGACTGTTGGTGAATTATACGGCTTTTTTAACATAAATTCATATTTGATATATATGTCTGTAGAGTTACCTACGGCGTCCGCACTTCCGTTCGAGGTAGATAAAGTTATTACTAAAATTAAAAAAGCAATAATTGATATGTCCGATAGAATGCGAAGACCGGATGGCCTGGAGTTATCTGTAAAAGGACCATTAACGGTTCAAGAATATCATAAATTTGATGGTAACATTTCACATTATTATTAGCGGTTAAGATTTAAATTTAAATTCTCACATATGTTGCAACCTTTAGAACGTCACGAATCCGATTCAAAAATGGAAAATAATGAAGATATGGAATCGAATTTTCGAGAATTATCTACCCCTGACGTTATTACTAGCTCAAATGACTATCTAATAGAGACTTCTCCTGAAATATTGAAGTTTTGGGATACTCATAAGCTTACTCCCTACGATGGAGCAAAGAACGTCAAGTATCTTGTGATGTTTCCTGAATCAGATAATCTTCGCTATTACATCGAATATTTTTTTGATGAATTACGGGTCCAATACGAAGTATATATTATTTGTGGTGTTATTAATTTTAGATTCATGATTCAATGTTCAGTTATATACTTATCTTTTTTTCTCCATCTAGCACCTCTGTGCATTAGGTTCCCATGAATCTGCTTCAGTGACGATGAATAAAAAAATTAACAATGGTCTTATACCGATTTCTTTAGAGCGTAAGTTGGTTTTTATAAACAACTGATGCAAGAGTTTATCCTAATATCAAATTATTTATCCGATTTAGCACTTTTGCCAAACGAGTCAGAGTTATCACAACAAATCCGAAGTTATGAGTTGGCTTGTGAACAATTAGGTAATTTTGGCTATTTATTCTTAACATTTTTGAAAAAAATTCTTAATATATTTACAATTTCAGGAAAGTCGCTGGCACAATCTGCAAAGCAATATGAAGACCATAACCTTGTGATATATTTAGTCAATCCATGGAACCATTTGTCGTCTAATTTCGATATTTTAATGAGTTTTTCAAAAATTAAAGCATGCTTTAAGGAAAGCAATAAGAAAAATTCACATCTCATATTTCCGCAAATTGTGCCAATTGATCATATTATTCGATTCGGTAAAACAACCAGTTCGTCTTTTAGGCTAAAACCTGTACTTAAAGAGTTAGCATTTTCTGTTTATACCAGATCTCAGGTAAATATGTTGAACAAGTAATTGTTTCATACTAAGAAATATTTTAACATTTGATTTCTATAAGACATATAAAGCGCCATTCGTTTTACCCAAGCCAGCTGTGGTATCCGTAAACTTTAAATTGGCTAAAGATCCACTACCTCTTGAAGAACTTGTCACATATGATACTATCCTTCAGATTTCGTATGGATATAGTTTTGATAAACGCAGAATGTTTTTTGTATGGGTGGATATGCAGGGAAAGCACTTAGGTTGTGAATCATTTCCCACGACAGTGCCATCAACAACAATCAAACATTTGTTCAGTTCAGCTTGGGATAAAATTCGAAAAATCATGGGTGACTATCGGCAAACAAACATCACCAAGGTCGGGATGATTACAAAAGAAGAAAAAGATCGTATGTCGTCATAATAATTTTTATTCATTTATTTATTTATCAATTTCAACCAATTTATATATACATCTTTACATCAGTATGGCTGCAAATAACTGGAGGCGGTGTTACTATTCTATCAATTGATATTGAACCTGCCTTAACCATTAATCCTATTTTGGAAAATAAACATCATAAATTAAAGGTATGTGGCATGGTTTTAAATCATCCAATACCGTTACAAGACTTTCTACCGGTGGCAACCGGATATTTACTAGAAATGGATACTGCTGATATAGTGTCCAGTGCTATCCAGGTAAAATTATTTTATATTTTTTGTGATCTTTTTTTTTCTTTGCCATCTCTAAGGTTTTTTTTTTTTTTTTTTAGGTGAATCTACTTCATTCATCTAAATCTGATAAGTACACACAGGTTTTGTGGGATATCTTGAAGCAATTTCATACCCTTACGTTTATGGAAGTGACCCAAACTCACGCGTGTCTTCCATTCCACGTTCTATCTGTCGAACGTCTTGCGCGAGCATTTGTAGGAGCTCCTACGTAAAATTGTAAACAAAAATATTGATACCACACATAAACTGGTATCCAAAAATCCTTTTGTATTATATATGCATATATATACCTTGTATTTCTTCTAACATACTTTTTGTATGCTTATTCCTATGTAACTTTATTACATTATTATTTTTTCCAGCAGAAAGATTACCATTGCATTTGATTTATTTGTATTTTTTACGTCCCTTTTTTATAGGATGCTACTAACACAGCTTTCAATGTATATATAATTGTTTTTTTTTTTTTTAGATGAATTTTATTCGTATTTATCTTTAATATCGTTTTGTTATCGAGATTTTTATTGATATACATTTAAAAGTATATATTATTACTATTTAGTAAAGATTTGAACATTTGAATGGAGGAGGGAGACAAATCAGTTATATAATTATACCTTAAAACATTTAATTGATACTTGAGATTTATTTTGCTTATGATGCAAAAATGTCATCTTAAAAGAAATGTTCTATGTAGAATATTTTTTTTTCCTTTAATGTAGAATTGATGACAATTTTTTTTCGCTTAACGATTGATATAGATGTATTAGTCTTTTAAAAAAAAAAAATCTTTTTTTTCTTAAAAAGAAATAAAAAAAAGTGCGATTATGTTGCTTCGCTAATAAGAGTTGTTCATTCAACCTATTTGCGAAGCTTTAGTTTATTTTTTCAAAGAATTTGTCTTGAATTGGGAAGTTAATATTCACAAGATCAGTGAGAATACATCTTAAGCTAAACCTGCTATGTTCATTTATAAATACAAAATGCTATGTGGTACTGCAAGCAAGAAAAAACAGCATGTATAAATTTAAAATATGTAAAGATGATCGGTTGTTTATTGAAATTGATATAGCGCTCACATTAAAATTTCGTAAAATTTTATTTTCTATTTTTATTTTTACTTTTACACGAACTTTTAATCAATTACTTCGTAACAGCAATTAAACATTTTTCTAATAGAATAGGAAGTTTTATGAATTAAGAAGCGATAGTAACTTCAACTTCAACACCAGGTTCAATAGAAATCGAAGTCTACAAGTTTAAGATTAAAAGATTAATTTATAAGAATTTTCAAAATAAATACTGGGAGTATACATACAATTTGTTTTACGATTTCACTGGGAGAATGCAAGTCGATCAATCTTTTATGAATTCTCATTTCGTATCTATCCCAAGTTTTACTACCCTCACCACAAGGTGATTTACGTGTAGTAATTCTCAAAACTTTAGTAGGTAAACGTACAGGTCCTTTAACTCGCAGATTCTTTTCTCTTGCACGACCAATTAAATCTGAACAAACTTTTTCCAAAGCTTTAACATTTCGTGATGTTAAAGTGATTCGAATGCGATGAACCTATTATTGTTTATTGAATATTGAATTTTAAAATGCAAATTATATTTCTGAGGATTAAATTAAAGTGAAATACTTTAGGTTGTTCATCGGAATATTCTTCTTTGCCTTTAGCGACATAACTCATGGTTTCGTATTCTCGTTTGATAACCAAAAGACAGCGGTGACTAAAGACTGCTTTACTAGATTTTTTTTTTTTTTTCTCAATGATTTATATAATCACAGTTGCACGAATAATTAATTATCTCTGCACATGATCATAATTATGTCAGGTCATGTGAATCCTATTAATTAATACATTTTTATTACTTTTTTTATATAATTATTCTTCCAACCATTCACGGATAACTTGTCTAATTTCATTTAAACCATCTCTAACATTATTACTATTTACAGAATAAATTTTAGAAAGGCGTTCGATTGCTAAGGCATTTAAATCAGTATTAAAATCGGATTTCTTATCAATCGAGCTGATTGGATTGTTTATTGGAAGATTTAAAAGACGAGTTGTGCACTAAACATTTATAATAAAGTTAGAAAAAATATTATTATAATATATAAAACATTACTGTTAGAATAGTAATTACCAGTTTAATTCCATAGAGTGCTCTAACATGATCCTCACATAATACAACAGCACGACAAAAATGTTTTAAAGCCAAATTAATACTATCAGTTGTATCATTTGTGTACAATATTTCAGCGAATTTTAAATGATAAAAATGATTTTGTGGTTGAAGTAAAACAAGTTCTTCGAGACAAAATGCCGCTTGCTTATAACTATTTTGATAAAGGAGAACGAACGTTAGTCTTAATCATTGTTTAAAGAAAAATCAAATGAAGAAAAAAAAATTCCATCGAAAAAATCAAATGAAGAATAAAAAAATCACATGAAGAAAGAATAAAAAATCAAATGAAGGACTTACGAATGAAATTTTAAATATAGGTCTGAAAGTTCCAGCCAACCTTCAGTGTCATTGTAAAAGTCATCAAGATATTTCGTTAAGGCTTCCATTGCTTGTTGATATTGCCCTTTTGCTTTAAACACGGCAATCCGACGTTTCGAAGCTGCCTGTAAAAGTTACCCATATTCATGCAAGATACATAAAATTTAAACCTAGTATATTCTATCTTGCAACATTTAAAATGACGAAAAGAAAACCTACAATATTTGAATCATCCTTTTCCAAAATTTCATCATAAAGTCGCAATGCTTCATCTAATTTATCTTCAGCTTCTAATTTCATTCCTTCCAATATTTTAACCCGAGGTGATCCAGGAAATCTTTTTTCAAGTTTTTCAAAACATGTCTTTTCTCGATCAAAGATGCAACATATTTTAATTATTTGATTATTTTAATTACATTTGTAGCAATAAAAATCAAATATATTAATAACACATATCATTAAATTCCTTTTTTTACCTTTGCTAATGCATCATTTCCCTGATCAAGTGCAGAGATGAAAACTTGTTCATATATAGGCCAAACTATTTATTATTTTAAATGTTATATTTTAATTATATAAGAAATTAATAAAAATCTATTTTATTTATCACATACTTTCATCGCCAAGTTTTCTAGTGTAGTCACGTAACAATCTTTCACCTAATGAAACAACTAAATCCGATTTTCGTTCCCCACTTTTACGCAATTCGTGAAGTGTCTCGATCGCTCTTAAATAATCAAACGGCGCCATACTAATACAACTACTTACTGGTCAAACAAAATGAACCGGAAACCAATCTCTGACATTGGAAAGATAACTGTTGCTTTATTTGTCGAGGATTTTCAAAATTTGTTTCGGTACTGAGCATAGATTACGATATCGGATCAATTGGAGTGACACAAAATGTAGATTAGAAAGTTGTGCAGGGAGTATTGATAAAAACAATTGATGTCGATGTTGGCTCATCATCTATTAAAGGCATGTTATCTATCATTTATTTATCAGATGAAATTTACGAACACTTTTATCATATGCTTGAAATCTCTTTACTACGCACGTACTCTATAGAACAAATAATTTTCTTTATAAACCTTTATATCATATGAATATACTCTCCTTTGAAATGACTGAAATATTGGAACAGGATCATGATTACGAATCTTTACCGGCAAATTCCTCTTTGACAGCTAATCTAATCGCTGGGGCACTAGCCGGTATCGGCGAACATACAATAATGTATCCAGTGGATAGTATAAAGGTTAATTTTTAAATTTTGATTTTAAATTTTATAAAATACTTTTAATATATATCTATTTTTTTGAAATTAATAGACTCGCATGCAAATTATAAATCCAACTCCACAAGCAGTCTACACAGGTGTTGCGAATGCGTTTTCTCGTATTTATACAACAGAAGGTGTTCGTACTTTATGGCGTGGTGTTAACTCTGTAGTGTTGGGAGCGGGGCCAGCACACGCTTTGTATTTTGGAACATATGAAATATGTAAAGACCTATTTGGGGCCAACATAGGAGAAGGACATCACCCGGTTGCTCATGGTAGTATCAAATAATACTATTAATATATAATTTCATTAGTAGATTATTATTAAATGCTAAATAACGGTTTCTTTTTTCGATTTTAGGAGCTGCAGGTGCATGTGCGACAATAGCGAGTGATGCATTGATGAATCCATTTGATGGTATGGTTTCATTAGAATATATAATTGATACATTTTATCATTTTTACAATTATATCAATTTAACGAAATCCCTTATTAATTTCTTAATAGTTATTAAGCAGCGAATGCAAGTTCATGGATCTACATACAAAAATGTTTTTGCTTGTGCTCGCTCAGTATACGCAAGAGAAGGCTTGATAGCATTTTACGTTTCGTATCCTACGACACTAACGATGACCATTCCATTTCAGATATTTCAGTTTAGTTCATATGAATATTTCCGTAAAGTGTTGAACCCCAGTGGATCCTACGATCCCAAAACACACATGATAGCCGGTGGACTTGCTGGTGCAATCGCAGCAGCAGCAACAACACCTTTAGACGTTGCCAAAACCTTATTGCAAACAAGAGGGAATTCATCAGACCATCGTGTACGGAATTGCAGTGGTTTATTAGAGGCGTTTCGAATAATTTATGAACGGAATGGCATTCGAGGCTTCGTGAGAGGACTGAAACCCAGAGTATTATCGCATATGCCTTCAACAGCTGTTTGTTGGTCAATGTATGAATATTTCAAATGGGTTATCACCAAACAAGATAGAAAAAAATTACCCGATAAGTTACATCTCCCATCATAATACTAATAATAGTAATAAAAGAACATTCTATCATTATCACTTGTTTAGAATAAGAGAGTGTTATATCATCTCTTTTTTTGTTAAAAAAAAAAAAAAGAAAGACAATTGTTACTTCACTGTTTTTAAATGATTGTTTTTTTTTTGTTTATTTTTATTAAATTCACGCATAGTTCATTATTGTAAGGATTGATAGAAGTTACAAAGGTGTAGTGGGTGAATTATGAATCGTATTACTTTTTCCGTAGGGACAAAATTTTTTCTACGAAACAAAAAATAAAAATTTATATAGTTTTATGTTGAAAATAAAAATATTGTATTTAAAAAATGATCCAGTATGATATATATATATGCGTATTTATGCCAATATTATTGGTTAAT